TATACTTTTTGACTGAATTGAGTTTTGCATTTCAAATATATTTGTTTAGAATTGTTTCAGTTGTCCCTTTACTACGCTCTTTGCATGATAACATCATGAAGTGATGTAAAGAATACACCCTTAGTCTTGCGTTAATGTACATAATTAATATCCTTTGTTAAAGGGATATGATCAGTTGAGGCTCTCAGGGAACTTGGTTTTAACACATCCATCCTAGTACAGAACCTGATTCAGTATTCCATCCTTCTTCTCCACACATCCTGGTAGTGACAGATAAATCCCTTTAACATCCTCTGGTCTTGGGATTGCAAATTGGTCAGCCTGTGAGAACTACAGTAACACTTTTGTTCTGCTTGCCCAAAGCTCTAAATATTCACTCTTGCTTACGAGGATGGACACTGGCAGATCTGGAAGTGGAGGGATCCTGCCAGGCTGATACCAGAGATGTACTGAGGCTTCTCAGTGTAGTTCACACTGGCATGTAAGTGTGGTTCTGAATTAGCTGTTGGTCTATAGCATGCAGTATTGCCTGAATAAACAGAGCATGAGTCAAAACAAGGAAGTTTAGGCTTCAGTTTTGCTCTGAAGTGGCTTTCTTGGTGACGTTTCTCAGAAGTCAAGTTATTAACATCCCAGTTCATAATGTTTTCTTTCCTCCAAGTACTTAGCTTTTGTCAAACCAAAATTAGTAGGTAGTACTCTTCAGGAACATGACTCCAGACTGTTCCAGACAATTACTTTCCCTTAAAGATTCATCATTACCTTTGTAATACAAAACAGGTAACTGACTCTTGGTCTCAAGCACAGCAGGAAACAAAGATATTCAATCTGAGAACAGCGGGATTGAAAATTTTTGGTCAGACAAATACCTAAATGTGATTTCTAGTTCTAAATATGTACCCCCTACTGGAGTCCAGGCTGTCTGGAGTCCCTCTGTCTGCCCCTGCTTCTCTGAATACCAGGAACAAAACCAGAGTTATTTGCCTTCTTTCTTTATCCAACCCTCTTTCATTTAAATAGATTCTGGTGGGACTCCGGCCAAATTACTGTGTGAAAAGACAGGTATAATATACATACATAACACAATTTCTTACACACTTTTATACATTATATTTTTGAGGGCTTGGATTTTTTTTTTAAGTTTCTTCTTACTTAAGCAATAGCTGTATATAGAGAAGGATCAAATCTTAGTTGCTTTACCTGGAATTGCTTCAGGTTTTACTAAAGAGCCAGTTTTATCACATACAAGGACAGATAGGAATACCAAGAAAAGAATCTCTGCAAGTTGCAGATTTCAGCATTTCCATTCACATCATAATCTGATTTATCTGACTGACTTGGGGACCCACCTGTTATGCTGAGATGTTTTCCAACAGTAATGACAATCACAAGCCTTTTGTAAGATTTCAATTCCCAACATATTTCTTTCCTGTTTCTGCAAGTACAAACTGGTTTCTAACTCCTACTCTTTCAGCAGCAAAAACTACAGCCCATCACAATCTTACAAATAAATACTCAAAATTAACATCTCAGAGATCAGAGAAAAGCTGTGTTTTCTGAACATGTTACACACCACGTGGATATTGATGGCTGAAGTGCTGGGAACTACCCAGACCAGAACCACCCTAAAAGCTCCACAGTGTGCCCCAGTAAAGTTTAGGAGCCACAGGGTCCAGTGAGCCAAATCACTCTTCCCAGGGTTTACAACAGACCCAGCAGTGAATTGACCAGCTTGCCTCTGTTTCCAGCCTCAGAACCTGCAGTTACCTCATGCCACAAAAACAGGAGCCTACCAAGTTACCTGTAAGGAGGAAAAAAAAAAGTCATAAATCAGACTTTTTTTCTCCACCTGTTTGTCATACAGTGTGGTGCATCAATTTTATCACATTTTTCCTCAGGAGTTTCCCTGTACACACCACATAGTTACGAATGAAAGCAAAACTATAAACTAGGTTGCATGAGCACACAGTAGCTTCCCCTCATAGGTAAAACCAGATATAGTTGTTCTTGCAGTGAAACCTCACCACTCCTAAGGAAAGAAAAGGAAAAAAAGCCTCAGAAAGGCACGTTTTGTATCACAGAGCAGTGTGAAAGAAAGTTTGGGCCAGGAAATTATTTAATCGGCTAAGGGCATATCCATAGTTTAAGCATATGTGTATTTTATATCTCATGTTCTTGAAGATGGAAAGATTAAGATTGGCCCAGGATTGGGCAGCAGGCTGTTTAACAAATACCAGATTAAATTGTCTGCATTAAAATCAACTTTTTCCTCTCCACTGATAAATTTGTGGTTTATATTTAGGTTTTAGCAGGCATACCTTTTTTAAAAGGTATCAATATTGTATTGTTATATATAGACATTACAATTTTTAACAATATTTTGAATTCGAATACAGTAATGGTGAGATCAATAATAATTTAAATAACTTATTCTACCTTTTTTTTCTCCAAAATGGGATATGAATTATGCATTTGAGTTTAATAGGCAACCGCTGAGGAGGCCATTAACTCAAACACTCTTACAGCAATTAGCTTTTATCTGCTATGGATCAGATTCAGTATTTTCTGTTTGAAGCAGAAAGCAGCAGTAAGTGCCAAATTAAAGGTGAACCACAGCCAAGATAAATTTTTGTAAAAAAAGGAGATGCAAGGCAAAAGCAGTTTTCTTTTTTAAACTGCCCAAACCTCGTCTCCATGATCCCCCGTAGCCTTCTCTGTGTCTTAGGTTGGTTGTGCTGCCAGAGACAGCCCTCGGCTGATCGGTTTGTGCTGAAGCTTGCACATGGGTTTATCCCGTGATTGGGATAGTGGGGAAGCATTAACTCCCAATTTAAAAAGTGTTAACTTCATTTTCTGAACGCAGTGTCAGAGTATTGCACATGATTTACTGCCATCAATCCCCTTTAAAACTTCCGAGCATGGTGAGTTAACTTGATGGGTGGAGTAGTTTTTGCCACTCTAAATCGCCAGCTCGTATTGGACTATTGAAACTACTTAAATAAACAGCACATTTCCTCATCTGGGTTGTTTTAGTTGTGGTGATTGCTCTGTGATGACTTTAAAGGTACCACCCGAAGTCTTAAAGCCCTGAGTGTTCCTTCCTAAACATCAGGTGAATTACTGATCATCTCCCAGATAACACTAACTAACTATTTAGGACTGCTTTATTAGGACCCCTCCCATTACCTTTGTTTAAAGCAGAAGAGTAAAGGGAAGAGTGAGCCCTGAAGCATATGCTGCATGTTCTATTTAAGTATTTTATTCCTGAATTGATAGGAAACACCATAGTTATACAATTAGATGACTTTGCTGCATCATACATATCATGGATATCTGAATGTTAAATCATTAAGGTAGGGGGTATTCAGGCTCTCATCTGTGCTCCTGAATACCAAATTACCCATATCCAGAGCAGCACCAAACTTACATTAGCTGTGGGCAGGTTTAATACTTTTTGTCCTGCAGGACATATTTCACTGCATATCCTCATGATCCACAGACCTGATAGAAAATTCTTTCCACTTTTAATTGCAGTTTCATTATGTCATCACTGCCAAGAAAGGAAATGGTTTCAAGTTCATTTATCTCGAATTAACTTTAGGCTGTCAGATAAATACACATTCCAACTATCTCAAGTTTCTTAGCTGAGCCCTGAAAAGTCAGTAAAACGTAACACGTGCTGCATGGTTGTGGGATATTTTGCCAAGAAGTCAGGAGAGATGTTATTTCAGCACTATGGCTTACTGCTCAAAAACATTTAATGGGCTCTCTCAAGAAACAGCACTTATCCACTTCGCAGCAAGCAGAGAGAACAGCCTCAATGGATAATCACCTTCCTCCTTTCCCTTACACGCTCACCGCTCACTAGCAAGGGCAGCAGCAATGTGAACAACCAGGCTTGCTTTAGAAAAATCCCAGTTACCAGCTGCTCTGCAGGTCTCAGCAATAGCACGGGGGTGGGCCAGGAAAGGTCCACCACAAAAACCTTCTGTTAGCATAGGAAGAAGTAGCAGCTTCCTAGCTTTTGTCCTTGTTGAAAGGACTTTGAGCATTCCAGGATCTCAGGTGGAAACTGAGCAGCACCCATAGTACCACACAGCAGCAGACATCAAAATACTATTCTTCAGTGCTTGAGTTTTTTAATTATTACTATTATTTTTCACACTTGCCTTCCTCCTGGGCAGGTCCCCTTCCCCTGTCTCTTCTTGAAGGCTGGTGGCCATACTGCTGGCAGCCACTAGAGGATGCCCCCAGGGTATTTGGTTGTGGCATCAGCAGGTCTGGTTGAAGGGCTGGAGCAAAACCTCCCAGTCCTCCTCTTGGGCTGCTCCTTTCTCCCCTGCGGCATTAGCAGCCATGTCCTCACACACCTGCAGGTTAATTTTCCATTGTTGGAGGTTGCCTGAGGTTAATTTTGCTTTGTGGTGGCAGGAGGTGAGCCAGCCTCAGGATTTTCCCAGTAGCTCTGAACATCTATGAGGCAAGGGGGGAGTGGGAGATGATATTTCAAATCGAGTAAAACTCCTCAAGCAATGGGAGAGTGAAAGCCCAGCACCTCAGCTTGTCGGAAACAGCTGTGTGTTACGAGGAGGAAGGCCACTGCCAAAGAAGAGGATTGCACCTATCCTTTTCTGCCCACTACAGCATGAAAGTGGAGCCAGGCTTCAAGTGCCTCAGCAGACCCCAAGGACCCCTGAGGTGTCTCTGCAGCTGCTGAGTTGAATTCCTCCCTGGTGTAAGCTCCCAGGGGGGTCTCCTTGGCCAGCCCTGCTCCTCTCCCTGGTCTGGTGATTATCCAATAAGCTGCTCGTACCAGCTCACTTTTTATAAAAGCACCTCTAGATTTCAGCCCAGGGTTTATTTATTGAGTTTCTCTGCACTTTTCCTTTCTCCTCCTCTCCTGCCAAGATCCAGAGATGGTACAACCCAAGATGGTACAAGAAAATGCCAAGCTTAGTTTTTTTAGGTCACCGTAAACTACACGCTTATCTGCTTTCAGAACACATAAGCCACAGGATGTCATTTCAAGTCAACACAGAAGGATAAGGACTAGAAAGTTGTTTTTGGCTGTAGATATGAATAAATCAGGATCATGTTGGGTGAGTATATGTTTGTATACAAGCAGCCTTTTTTAAGGGCTCTTTTTTAACCCAGAGCCTTCTTCCTCTTTCCTCAAAGGATCCATATTCTTCTGGCAGCAAAGATCTTTTTATATCTTGGGTTTTCATATTCTGCCCAGCCTATCGTAAGGGAGCACAAATCTACTAAATAGTAAAATGAGGGATTACTTCCACTCATCTGTTGACAGACATTTCTCCAAATTGGATCAAATGATTAAAGGTATTAGAATGACGTCTTGCAGATCCAGATCAAATCATTTGAAACCTTGAGACCGTTTCTCCTTTACTTGGAAGAAACCACCAGAAATAGTTGTAGGTGCTAATTGCCCATTATTCTCACTAATGTGAAGTTGTTAATTGGGACCTTTGAATATTTTACTTGCTTGAATCCTAACCAGGGGAGTTCAAGATGGAAGGACTCTGCAGTGGCTCGCTTCCTGATGTGCCATTTGGGGTCTCTTCCAACGCCTGAATGGTTCTTCCTCAAGTTGCTTACGCTGAGAAGAGGGGTCCAGGCTGTGAAATCTTCCAACACCTCCCATTACAAAGATGGCACTGCTGAAAGTCAAATTCAATCAGAAGAAACGGGTAAAACTAGCGCAGGGACTATGGCTCATGAACTGGTTTTCAGTGTTTGCTGGAATCCTTGTTTTTAGCATGGGATTGTTCCTCAAAATTGAACTCCGGAAGCGAAGCGAAGTGATGGACAATAATGAAAGCCACTTTGTGCCCAATTCTTTGATACTGATGGGTATATTATCCTGCGCCTTCAATGGTTTTGCTGGAAAGATTTGTTACGATTCTCTGGATCCCGCTAAATTTGCCAAGTGGAAGCCTATGCTGAAACCTTACCTGGCACTGTGCTTCATCTTTAACATCCTCGTTTTCTTCGTTGCTCTGATTTGCTTTCTCATGCGGGGCTCTCTGGACAGCACACTGGCCCAAGGGCTCAAGAATGGCATGAAGTTCTACCGGGACACAGACACCCCTGGAAGATGCTTCATGAAGAAGACCATCGACATGCTCCAAATTGAGTTCAAATGCTGTGGGAACAACGGCTACAAAGATTGGTTCGAAATTCAGTGGATCAGCAACAGATATCTGGACTTCAGCTCCAAAGAAGTGAAAGAGTAAGTGATTTAGTGGGGTTTGTATCACATAGCATCGTTATTTGATCAGTATTATCCTCAAGAAATGTATGTCCCAGCAGGCACTGACTGGAAGGGGATTTGTACAAAATGAGGTCTTTCTCTGCCCTTGCATAATAAGCATCCCAAGTGATCAGCTAGATTGCCTCCTCCCCTGACAAATTCCTCTAAAGTTATCCAGAACATAAAATATAAAGCATATTCTTACTCAGCTCAGTGTAAACAGACTTAATATTTTTTACTGTCTTTTGCATCGTTATAAAACCATTACGTCGAGCCACACATACCAACTCCCAAAATGAATAGGAAAGTATCAGAACTTCACTTGTCCTAAGGCAGATTTCAATGTGATTTATTAACTTCCTAAAAAAAAGAATTCCCTGGACATGTACTGTTGATACCACTTCTAAAACTCCACTTAGATATTGGCAATGAATCAGTCTAGTGGAAATAAATAGAAGCAGTAACAGTTTACCAATAATTTATGTGGTTTAGATCCTTAATATTTAGAATTTTATTTTTATATTCATTTGATGGATTGCTTCAGCACTGTGATAATACTGAGCATCAACACCTATCGATGTTCCTAGCTTTACACAGTGGCCCTTGTAGCCAAATGCATTTTAAGTTCTCTCCTGTGCCTAATTTTTTAAAACCTCACATGAAACCAGCGCTTATTTCCTCTATACAAACCAGAGCAGATTGTTGATCAGAAACACCTTAATGGCTTTGATGTCACTGCCCAAAGAGGCTATAATCCCAAAATCAGGTTAGGTGCAGTAAGCTCAAGCAGAAAATAAACACAAGAACAAAATGCACCTTTGAAATTAAAAAATTAGCATTGGGCATAAATACCCGCAACCTTCTAAAAAATTAAGCGTCAGAGAAAGAGATGGTTACTCAAGGTTCTTTGGGAACATTACTTGTAACATTCATACTCTATGGTTGCACAATGGGTCCTGTAAACTGGAAGCAATGTGCCTTTTAAATGTACTGCCTGTGTCAAAAATGTCTGAATTAATTTTAAAAAAAGCTTGGTGTATCTCTTGGGGTCCAGGCCTGATTGTGTAAGTGGTATTTCACTTGTGTGTCTCTCTGCATGTTGTTTTGACTTGTTGGGTGGTCTGGTTGTTTTTGCAATTCTGAGGGAGGACTTCATAGTGAAAACTGTTACAGACTTAACCCATTGCGCTGCAGGGTTGTAACAAATACATTCTCTATTTAATAACGGAGCATTTCTGTTGCGAAGATACGCCCACGGGTATAAATAACTCCTTGAAAAAAACTTGCCAGCATTATATGGAGATTTGAGAGCTGTAACTTAATCCAGCAGCAGTGGAAGGGCAATGCACAGAGGGAAAACAAGGTTATACTGTCCTTAATAATTGATGCCTTGTTTGGGACTGAGACTCAAGGTAATTTCTTTGTACTAGGGAATGCCCTACAGGAAGTAGGGCATTAAAAATCTACAAATGGATGTCAGTGAATTCAAGATTTGTACTACGTGGTGGTACACAATCTCTGCTCACATTCCTGGTGGTATAGTCCCGCCCCTTTGAAATCAATAGCAAAGTGCTCCTTAATTCCAGGGAAGGTGGGAGTCTGTCCCCCACAATGTGATCTTTATATTATTTGTAGAGTGAAGGCCTGATCCAATCCCTCTGAAACGGGTGGAGCATTTACACATGAATGTGAATTAGACCTAATTCAGAGCACACTTTCCATCTAGAGATAAAACTTCAACTGCAAGTGTTTAGATATATTTGGGTCATGACTGCAAGGTGGAATTTTCCTTCATCGGACTGTTGCAATCATCACTCTCTCTCTGACACAATTTTATATTATCCATATAGAAAGCTACAAGTAACACTCAGATTTTTTCACCTTTCTAGATCACTGGAGCTTTCCATTCTGTCATTTTCTAAGGAAAATGGTGTGTGTTAGAGTTGAAGTTCTCTTATTATAGCTTTTTTATGTAGTGCCAGTGGAACTATTTGCCTTCTAAGGTATCTCTTACCTAAACATCTTATAAGGCACCAGACTGAATGACTCTTTATGGAGAACAACCACGGTGTCAAATGAACAATAGCTGGGAAGCTCCTGTAAGGACTTTGGGAAATTTTGCAACGTCCTGTTGCTGAAGCACATTTCATGTTTCAAATACTGGCTATCTTCCCAAGCCAAGAATAAATGCATAACCCCTCCCTGGAGCTACTATCATCAAAGAGAAGCTATTAGCTTTGCTGGATCAATGGTCTAGCTGGATATGGTGGGTCCTAAGGCTGTCAGGTCACTTCCAGCATCTCCCTTCCACATTAACTATGCTGTGATCACTCTTTTCTAACTGCCCCTCCTGCAATTTCTCTCTGCCATTTACTTTTGTTAAAAATTAATTTCTTTGAAGAAGTGACCCAAGAGCACGCGTTTCCATCATGAGGAGTTATTTACAGACTCAGTGTAGCCTTGACATAGAAAAGGATTTCAGAGAGGAGAAATACCCAGGACAAACACCACCATGTGAACAGGGGATGTGAAGGAATGGCATGGTCAGGAGGCAGAGTGGAAAATTCTCCCTGTCTTTGCTTTACTTCTTCGTGCAAGTTTGCTCCCGTATATCTTTGTGTGGTGTGTGTGTTGTATGTGTGTATTCACGCTTCCTTCTGCCCTTGCCCATAGTCGGATCAAAAGCAACGTGGATGGAAGGTACTTAGTGGACGGCGTCCCCTTTAGCTGCTGCAACCCGAGCTCCCCAAGACCCTGCATCCAGTACCAGGTCACCAACAACTCAGCTCACTACAGCTACGACTACCAAACAGAGGAGCTCAACCTGTGGAACCGTGGCTGTCGGGAAGCCCTCCTGAACTACTACAGCGGCATGATGAGCTCCATGGGTGCCGTCACCCTCCTCGTCTGGCTTTTTGAGGTAACCCTCTCCTCTCAGCCCCACTTCGCTGAAGCACCAGCTCTGGCAGAGCAGAGTGTTTTTCAGCGTGGACTTTTCAGTTAAAGGTCAAATCTATTTAAAATAAATCACCAGCTGAGAAAACTTCTAATAGTGAACATTAATAGTGAACATCTGCATAAGGCCCAAAAGGTCTCAGGCTGGAGACAGAGCTGGGAAGCATGGAGTGGGTGTGGGATTACATACTTCCCTTGCAGAGCAAGGGGCCAGAGCCTCAAGCATCCCACAGTAAGAGGGGAAAAAGGGACTGATTTTCTACCAAATATAAGGTGCTGAGCAGGGAAGAGACAGTGAGGGCTCCGCTGTCCAGATGCATTAATTTCACGTGTCACCATTTGTGGGGAATGAGAAATACACAAAATGTTGGCAGTAATTTGTGGAACGGAAAGTGCAATCAAGAGGTTTACTTGCTAATGAAAGTAAGACCTAAAGCCATGCACAGTGTCCAGCTTCAGGGCAGCATTTGGTTTAAGGTCTTTCATCAGATCCACCAAGGTTTTTGGGCAGAAAAAGTGGTTTAGGCAGAGCAGGTGGATTAAATTTATTTTATTCTGCTTCTCAAAACCACTATGCATATGCAAACAGCTGCCAATACTGCTGGTGTCTGTGGGCACCATAACCCAAAGTGCAGCTTTGCTCCTGAAATACTATTCATTCAGTGTGAGGAAAACATGCCCTCCTGCCTCTGGGAGGTGGCCAGTTTTCTAGCGGGGGTTTGATCAATACTAATACTCAGGGAGCGTGGGCTGGCAGTGGCACAAGAGTTGGCATGTGAGGTGCTGGATGAGGAGGTAAGGCAGGACCAGAGGACAGAGGTGAGGGTACAGCTCACTGTGTGACACGGAGTGCAGCAGACCCTTTCCAATCCTTGCAATGGCTGTTGCAAGTGGCATTGCCAATTTTAAATGATTCAGCTGGCTTTTAAAAAATTTAGATACATGCAAATTGAAAAAAGATGCACTATGTTTTGATACAGCCTTCCAGGAATGGAGATTCTTTTAGAAAATAAACACCTACCCAGATAATCTGTAAATTGAAAAAAAAAAACATAAAGTTACTCTGTGTTGTGTTGTTTTAAAAATAACTACTCTGAACGGCAGAGAACTGTACTACCTCCCTGTAATGCTGTTATTCTGGTAAGAAAAAAAAGAGAAGCTCATATTTCAATCCAGATTCAAAGGCAGAGTTCTTTAAGAGAAGAGTATTTCAGGTATATATGAAAATCATGAAGAAATTCAAAAACTCAGGGGAAAAATGCACAAAAATACTAATGCCAGCTGCAAAAAGTCTTGACTAGGCACCTGTAACATACCTGACTTGTAAGAGGTTAATGACAGTGATATGTTAACATTAATAGCAGTGATAAAAATGCAGTATTTTACGTGTAATTCTTCAAAGTACATCTGGGTATTTTTTTCAACCTGCGGCATAATGAGAAATAAGATATCTTCTTTCCTTCATGTTTTTCAAAATAGTAGATGAGACTTTTTTCCAGGCAATCAGAGGACTCTCAGGGCAAAGCTTTTAAGAAACAACACAATCCTGGGTTATAATAACTTGCTCTCCGAAATATTTATGACTTGCCTGATAGTCCTCCATAAAGAGTCCAGATTTGGGTCTCAAACTCCCTCTGGTTTTAAGGCAAACTGAAGGGAGGAAGCCAAGCAGGAAGCAGACATAATTTAGTACATTCCAGTCAAGATAGGAAACAATTTTATACTGAGTAGGAGGGCAGCAGAGGTCCCAAATCCTGGCCAAGGTAAGTTTGGATCTGAGCAGGGTATGCCCAGTGGGCAGTGATTGTGCTGGCTCTGTGCTTCTCATTTCCCCTTGGACTGACTTTCTGGGAAGTTACAGAAAAGTGCAGAAGCAAAGGAGCATCCTGGTTTGCTCTGTACCTGGTGCCACTGTGAGTTGAAGCCAGCAAAGCCCTTCTGAGGGCTGCAGAGAACTCCTCCAGCAGGGTTGTTGGTATTGCCGTGTGGGGAGGGGGCAGAGCGTGGAGGGAAACACTAATCACAGCTGTTATTTTGAGTTGTAGGAAAACATAATGTGCCAAACGTGTAGGGATCTCAGGGAAGACTGTTCACATTTAACCTTTCTATATTAAGGGCAAGGAAGAATGAACCTGTTTTGGAATATCAAAACTTCTCTTTGAAAAGAATGATAATATATTATCTAGATGCTGCTTTTACTAACAAAAGCTGTAGGCTTCCCATGAGTGACAACTGGTCATGAGGGTGACAAAAAAAGATCACACCCTGCTCTAGCTAAGCCGCCTCAGGCTAAACCCTGGCAAACAGATGGGCTTCGCTGCAGAAGGTCAAGCAGAGCAAGCCTGGATGTCTTCTTGACCCACCTCAGCCAGCAAAGAGGAAATGAGGGGTTCAAGGGTGCCCTGAATAGAGCATTTCAAAAGGAATAGAGTGAGGCTCGTTCCTGAGATGCTCCAGGTCCTTCACCTGTACAAACACATGGGTTGCAATAGGTCACAGCTACTGCAAAGGCCAAGACCCTGCAATTCACCTCACATGTGGTGCCACAGAGGGAGCCCAGCACTGAGCTCCAGGAGAGCAGTGACACGAGCAGGAGGCACATTACACATCCTGTGCTGGAGAGTGAACTGGTAATCTTCAAAACCAGGCCACGGGCAGCAGGGACACTCCAGATGGACACAGTTTGCTCTGTTGGCCCAGACTGAGGGGCTGAGCCTGCTGTGGTGCAGGGGATACACCAGCTCACCCTGTCCATCCCTAGCCCTGGAGGAACACTGTGGCTGTGTTCTTCCTGCTGCTTTAAAGTTGATGTAAAATGACAAGAGTTTCCATGACAGGTTGTCTGTTGGCCAGGGAAATCATCACTCAGCAAGACTGGACTAGCGCTGGGGCCCTAGAGATGCCCCAGCCTTCTCTGCTGGATTGCAGTTAAGCTCAGCTTTACAGCTCAGAGTCACAGACTGGTTAAGGCTGGAAGTCTAACTGTGGCCTCACCAGGGTTGAGTAGAGGAGAAATATCACATTCCTCATCCTGCTAGCAATTCTTTGTCTAAAGCAGCCCAGGATACCATTTGCCCACTTGCCACAAGGGCTCACTGCTGGCTCATGGACAATTTGGTGTCCCCCGGGACCCCAAGGCCCTTTGCTGCCAAGCTGCTTTCAGACAGTCACCCCCAGCATATACTGGTGCATCAAGTTATGCCTTCCCTGGTACAAGACTTCAGCAAAACTGGTAGTCCAAGTCTCTGTGTGATCATATAGAAGACAGAAAAATTTACCAGATACTTGTCTCAAACTTCCTGGATTCTCTTCTCCTCTGGCAGAGAAGGCAGGCTCAGGTCAGTGGAGGTGACAAGAGCCCAAACGTTTTGCACTGCTTTTAAGGAATCTCAGCTTCAGGGACCCCAAATCTTTCTAAGCAAGATTTTTAAGAAAACAATGTATTAAACTGAGAGAAAATGTCACAAAATCTCATCTGAAGGCTGGTCAGTTGCTCCCTGCTGCACAGGCACATTCCTTTTATAAAGCAGGACCATATTTAGTGACTTAGAGCCAGCCAGGAAGCCTGCAAGAACAGCTACTTCAGCTGTCAAATAGTGGGACTTGGCAAGTCAATCACAAAACAAAACTCCTGCTGAGATGCAGTGAGGCAGCACAAGTAGAGAGCAACATGGAGGCCACCTTCTGCATCCAGCCCTGTTAGTTTGTACTGGCAACGGCATTGAAGTTCAAAGATATCAGTCCTGTGACTGAGAACAGGAAAACTGTGACTCAGAGAGGAAGGAAGATGTCAAAGACTTTAAATCTCAAGACTAATGTGACGGGATTTGTCAATTCTGATGACTTTTATGGAATAGTGCTTCAACTAGTTCAAGTCATCATAGTATTGGCTAGATAAGATTATTTCCAGAGTGAGGGCCACTAGAAACTTCCTTGAGGACCAGTGTGTGGCAAGTCATGCGTTATGTTAGAAAGTATGAAAATTTGCCTTTGGATATGGAAGTATTTGATGAAGGTTGTTTGTTTGACCAATGTTTTTCCATTTCTGATCTTGAATGAAGGCAGAAAAACACTAACATCTGCAAATTTTGAGACTAACCAAGTGTAGTTTGGTCTTCCAAGAGTTTGGAGACACTGATTCTACACAAGTAGGATGACCACAGTAGACAGGCTAATGAATGGTCCATGGAAGCACATGCTTGAGCAGTCCCTCGAGTCTAAAGGCCAGATGTGAATACTGCCATTGGCCATGCTATGTGGCTGAATCCCAACTTCAAATCTGCTGCCCTCTTTAGCCATTAGGGTTTAGGAGGACCAGAGGTAATCAGTTCTGTGGTAATTTGGATAGGGTAGCGGAGGCATTGTACTTCCCTTACAGAACAAATCCTACGAGGTCATGGACAACATTAAATGTTCTCAATCTTAGCTTTACCCAGCATGTGAAAGACTAAACTAATCTTACTGCTGTCCCATCCTGACCACCTGCTCTACCACGTCACCAGGCTGGCTCTTCTGGGCACTGCCTTTTCTTTCTCTTTCTCTACTTCAATCTGATTGATTACTTTTCTTCATAAGCACCATAACAGTGGAGGTCAGATTGTTCTGAACAGTGTTAGAAAGGAGGAGACTGGTTAAAACCACTTTTTCTCTCTGGAGGCAGGTGTGGGGTGTTGCCAGTGTCAGAGGTGTTACACCAGCATAATACAGTAGAAAAAACCACCTTATTCAGGGCTGCTGGGACTTGGTAATATTTAACTGGAAATAGATATGAGTTTTAGATGGAACCAGTGAGAGATACCCCTGCTGCCTTAATTTCCTTATATGCACATCCCTATATAAAAACAAAACCAGAATTTGAAGTAGACAAAGTGATGGCTCAAATCCTAATGCTGCTCTGTTCTGCAGAGATGCTGATTCATGAATATTTCCTTGATCAGCTTAATATATTCACCAAACATATTAAGGTCAATGCAAAGTAAAAATATTTAGAGTTAAAATTAAGTGGATGGTGGCAAAGGACATTGTTCCACATGAAAACTGCTTTATGGATATCTGGTGTAGAGGAGCAGGGGTTGCACTGAAACCTCCCAGGAGGCACTGACCCTGTGAGGGGCCATGAAGAATGGTCCCTTGTGCACATGGCCCCTCAAAGGTGCTGTTCCACAGCAGCCAGCACGTACTTCCTTCATAAGGTGATACCTCCACTCATTGCTGACTGAGTGTCATGCTTCCCATGTGCTCACCCATTTCAGAATTCCACCTTCTTTCCTACTCTTGAAGGGACATTTTCCTCCTGGGCATCTCAAGGGGGAAGGTTGCTCAAGATCTCCTCTTATTCAGAGGATTCTCACAGCCCTTAAACTGTGGCAAGTTGGTTCCTTTGGCATTTGGTTCACACCACCAGCCAGGGCTGCTGATAGCAGAGGGCAGTGAGGATGGAGGAGGAGTATCCATGTTTGGCTGACACTCTCTGTCTTCCATTGCCTGGCACAGATATCGGTGATGATTGGCTTGCGCCTTCTACACACCTCTCTGGAAAGCATTCCAAACCCCGAAGACCCTGAATGTGAAAGTGAAGGGTGGGTGCTGGAGAACAGCCTGAAGGACACTTTTAAATCTGCACTGGAGAATTTGAAAAAGCTTGGTAAGTTCAATCAGGTGGAAGCAGGAGCCGAAGGGGCCGAAGGAGAGGAAGGAGGGAAGACGCCAGCCATCACAACGGTCAGTTGAGCTGCTAATTGATGTGGACTTTTTCTCAGAGAAAAATAAAACAAACTGAGAATTGTGAATATCTACATTTTAAAAGTTATGTATCAACCATCAGAATACACGTTTCTGTGCATGTTCTTTTTTGTATATGGGAGCATACAACATAGTGCACCTTGGGATAATACTCTTATCCACAATGTGAGTACACCATATCCATATCTTTTTGGGGATATGATCCCAACTAGGACTCACAATATTCATGTGTTCTCGTATCAGGGAAAGTTAGTTTAAAAATTAAAAAAAAAAAAATTAAAAAAATTGCTGGCATCACACAGTGATCCATTCCACCTTATTTTGAAATTAAAAGTGAAATTTGAAAAGTTAATATTTTTTGTTCAAGATGTTTTATCAGTACAATTTCTATATTTCAGCTTTTAAAGACAAACAGATTGGGTTTCTGGAGAGTAACATGTTAGAATTGAAAGGAAGGAGGATTTCTAGAATTGTATATAACTTAGTATACAGGTATTTTGACAAACCTCTCATATAATGTGATTTTTGTTAATGTGCTAAGCAATGGTATTTTCTGCTGTATTCTTAAGATGTACATAGAACAAATGCAAACTTATGCTGAGAATTAATACACTAAGAAAAAATCGTAATTTAATGAAGCAGCCAAGCATCATGAAAACAATATTAAGGTAAGATTCATGGGGTTTGTTTCTCAGGGCTTTCTGCAGGCTGTATATCTTGAATGCACGTGTTGTAGACTTACGCTGCACCTTGTATTTAAATTCTACACAGAAGCTTAGAAGATTCTTTCTGTAGTGGGTCAAATCCGTGCTATGAGCATGTGCCAGTTACTGTTACTCTGGACATTTTACAGAGTATGTAACCTCATAGCTTGCTCCAGAATATTCAAGCCCAACTATTTTTAAGGCAAGAAAAGAAAAGAAACCCAAAACCAAAAAGGCCCCTTGGAACTCACACTTTAAATGTTTTTCAGGGTCCTAGAAAATGGATACCATTGATTTGTAAGTACATCAAGCCTCAAACTTTCAGGCCAGGGAAAACTAAGTTTAAATCAATCCTCAGTGTGCAAATTTTGCAAATTTTACTTTTCTATCAGTGATAGGGTACCCACCATTATATTTTTTAAATCAATGGGAAGGCACATTTTGAGTCTGCATCTCTCTAAACATACTCTCATAGCTGGAGGATCCTGTTCTCATTATACCATGTTGGAATAAAGCATGGAAAGGGTTTGCTGTGGTGCACAGCCTCTAGTAAGGCAACAGAGCATCATCTTGAGTTTTTCTTCAGCTGCCAGATAACTTCAGCTAAAGGGAAAGAAACCCAAGAGAACAAGCCCCAGTCATGCACAAATTATTGCAGACACCTCAATCCCTCTGCTGCAAGCCAGGCATCATGCTTATTTTTACTCTGGATGGGAAAACCCTCTACTGCTCCAAGGTGTACCTCAGAGAGGTTTCTCAGTGGGTCCCTTCCATCTGACTGATGGCTGGTCTTCAAAGTAAGCCGTGTTTGCAGCTGCCTAATCATTGCACAGCCCATTGGTTTTTGTTCTTAATCACTTGTGCACTTGCCCCAGCAGTGCTCAGCTTCTCTGGCTTTTGTTCAAACTCCTTCTAGGATGGACAGAGCAGTTCAAGGCAGGACAGGTAAGGACGTGTCTGTACATCAAGCCATAGTTTCTATCTCAGTGGCCAGGCTGTTTCAGGCCATCTGCATGCAAGGTTTGATTTTGACAGGTTTTTGTGGTGTCCTTTCACTTTTTCAAAGCTGGCCAAAGCTTTAAACTTATGATAACTAATTTAGTTACAATAAATTAAAGTCACTCTCTTCTTTTGTGCATAAGACTGTCTAGAACATGGGCACCGACAAAAAGCCAATTTGCTACTCACCACAGCCTATCATCTCTTATTTTGCTGAGGGACACTCTGCATGGCAGAACCGTAGGAACCAGAGCAACTCCTCCCTTCTCAGTCAGACGTTGCTATGGCCGGCTGCCCCTCCCAGCCGGGCCATTAGAGAAGAGCAGGACTGTGGATGGCACACGATGTGGCCCACATGTATCAGAGAAGAGCTTTTCAGAGGAGTCACGTGTGGATAGGAGCTGCGTTACAAGGATTAATTACAGTTTTTCCTTGTGAGACTTCAGCGTGCTGTGATCTATACCAGTTATTTGACTAGACATCTGATTTTTCAAAGAGATCTAGATTTATTGCTGCCCTAGAAATCTGGTTTAGGCCATTAATTTAGACAGGACTCCCCAGTTATTTGTGGTCTATATTTTTTTCAGTTTGCTGCTACAGCAACATAACAAATTGTCAAATTATTCTTTCAACACCGCATTGAGAAGCCAGTTCCCAGAGCAATGGTATTAGTCAGGTAAAGAGACCATCTGAGACAGGTTTATGAAGAACAGTACTGGAACCAGGGAAAAAACAGTGTATATGCTAATTCTGTCTGAAATAAAGCCTCCTGGTTGGTGGAGATCTTTGTAACATGATTACCACAAGACTGTAATACGACTGCTTTGTAAAATATATCATGTAATATATCACTCATCCGATCTTACATATACTTTCTTGTGACACTGCAAATGCTGTTCTAGATAAAGATATTTCTGCTGACTGCAAATGTAAATTTAGGTATTAAAATTGTATGGCAAGTAAAGATCTCTTTAAAGAAAATGTTTAAATATATACAGTTTAATACAGATTTCTCTAATTTGCATTACTACTGCCTTTTTCCTTCTGAATTCATTTTTTGGACCTGTTTTATGTGTTCCTGTGGGTGGGAAGGTTTTCCCTGCCTCCATGTAATGCTCTAAGTGAAAGCAAACCTTCCTCTTTTCATGTACCCAGCTAAGGTCAGGATGTGCAAATGGACTCCTAAATCACCTGCCTCTTACTAGAAACGAATTTGCTGTACTATTTGAATAGCATTCTTTTGCAGTACATAGGAATTAAAACATCTTCACAGCCATGGAGATGGTCTCCTGGTCATGCTCCACCAGTGAAACCACTGACATCCTCAGGATCTTTGACAATCAGCTAAGCAGAGTTTATAGCCTCTTTCCCCCCCCCCGCCATTTAAATCAAACTTGCAATGAACATTCAAAAGAACACATTGTTCTTATTTTAAATTTAAGTCTAAAGCTCCCACAGTCAAATCTGCCTGCAGCAATCCGACGACTTCCAGAGCCATGCCCTGATTTTCAAACTAATAAACTTCAGAAGGATGTGAGCTTAATTCATGCAAACCAGGCCACTTCTTTTTAGGTACCTCCATATGGATTACCAGCTTAAATCGAAGTACACAGATCTGAGAGCCAGCCCAAGGCCTTGAAGTGTCAACTCCTAAGAAACATCACTTTTTAAAGAAATGACAAAAAGTACACTATTTTACCGGTGACATTTATTTGAAGGGACACAGAACATTGACTGAAGTGCTTTAAAGGAGGAAATATAAACAGCTTCCTTAAAGCTATTAGTTCTTAAGTAGCCTTAATACAATTGATAAGATTAGCCTCCATGCATTACATGAGCTTGGGCATTTTGTAATACCACACAAATACATGTGTGCAGCTTAGCAAAGCGCATGGCAATGCTATATCGGGCTCACAGGCACCACACGTACTTCCTAGCTAATGGCCTGGGGAGATTTTTAAAGGCTGATATAAAGAAAAAAGGATCCCAGCAAAACAGTTACTTATTTACACCCGACTTGCTTGGTTTGTAAAAAACAGACAACACTTCTTGTAGCATAATCAATGGAAAATGGGGACGGATCACAAATGCTTATTAAAAAAAAAAAAAAAAAAGAAAGAGCATTATTAGAGATTAGTTAATTAAGAGATAAGGCCAGAAAAATAGAATGGAACCATGTGATAACAGCCCCCTGTGGGGAAGACACAGGCTTAGGCAAATTTATTTCTGGCAACAGCAATGCAGCTATCTCAAGTCTGAAATAATGCGTATGTGGAACTTTTTCTGAGTTATGTCAGACCTATAATGTTCAGTGACTGACTAAAACACTGAAGTAGACAAATGCCTCTCTCAAAGCAGATGCATTTGCTGTTCTCGTGTAATTTCACAGGTGTTACTGAATTTGGATCCAAAGCACATTTGTGAGGTGGGAAACGCTGGCCTGGAGCTCAGCTTTGTGGGCTCTCCATTACCTGCACCATCTTGGCAGCACCTTTCCCTGAGGAACACACCTCTGTTTTGCAGCCCTCCCCTCACATGTGGTGCCAGACGAAGGGCTGAGCAGGACTCCCACTTCCCACCCCACCAGCTCCTCCCAAAGCACACAGAACTAGTAGAACTAGTCTTGCCTGATTAACCTGTTTCTAGTAAAAAGAAGGATAGTCCATAAACATGAAACAACTAAGTTCATGATGAACTGCATTTCCATGGTTTGTTCTCAAACCTTTCCAGGGCAAAGGGCAGTGTGGGAATCAGAGGGACCAGTCAAAGAGCAAAACAAGGACCAAAGGGCAGGTCTGCAGCCTGCCTTTGGACTGATGCACACCAGGCAACCAAAACCTCCAGGCATTGTACGTCACATTCCCGGGCAGGAGGGTCAAGCATCGCAAATCAGAAATGGGGAGACTTGGGCATGTGAAACGTGATAAGGCACAACTGCAGCTCGAGGGTGATGAAAGGAGGAGACCAAAGCACTAAGTCTGAGGCACACCACAGACTGACCGTCTTGTTAACAGGGTGAAAATGAAGTTTAATTCTTGAAAAAAGCCCCACAGAAGTCACTTTGAAATATGTGACAATACAGAATTTAACAGCTGCATCCAAGAACCACTGTCCCTCCCAGCTGTGTGTGCCTCAGGCACTGTCAGTATACACAAGCTGGAAGGAGACGCTCACTGCATTCATCAGTCCCTAAACACAAATCCCCTCCTGCCTTCCTGGCTGCCCAAGTAATGTTCAGAGGGCAGCACAGCTCTGCCTTAGACACTTTTTCAAATGGATGTGAGTTTTCCCATTAATACATGCATTTTCTTAAACACAAATAACAGACTAAGGTTAAAGATACAAAACAACCACAGGGGGAAAATACAAATGAGGGCAAGGTGAATTCACAAGTTCATATGAATGAATCTTGCATTAATTAGATAAATTAATCAAGAGTAGAAGTAAAATTGATTCTGTAATGTTGCTGTAGGCATATTTTAAGTAAATTATGACAGCATTTCTTGTTTTCATCCCAGAATTTTAAATGTAATAGAACCTAAAATTCAAAATTTTTCTCTGTTTGTCTAATTTTTTTTTTTAGAGTACTTTAGATTATTCTTGAGATTAGGTAATGTTAAAAATGGATTAAGTGCATTTCAGGAAGCATTTTGTTCAGGAAAAAACTCGCAGTGGTATGTCTAGATTAAAAATAATTACTACCACAGCATATCCCTGACTCCA